CCAAAGAGTATGGATCCTTGCAGTCACGAAAGCTTCAAATCTAGAAAAGATTATGGTGATGCTGTTATTGCTACTCATGCTGCTGATGATTATGATGACGTTGCTGCTACTGATCATGCTGCCGCTGATTATGATGATATTAAAAGCAGATACAGTACAACAATGGCCCATGATGATGACGACGGTTTGATAAGGAAGAACGGAAAATAAATTACTAACGGCAGAGTAATGTATGTAAGGCTGTGCGAAACGCACTACATTGAGCACTGCTCTATACTGGAGTAGAATTTATTGGTAAATTTGGCCAGTGCACTGGAATAGCCAGAGGGCCTCGATTACCCCACCACTCCCCCAATGGACGCCTATGCCGACCACATTGATTCAACTTCCTGTCGATGGCCGAGCCTAAATGTTTTTTTTAATGGCAGCCAAATGTTTCGTCTTTCTTTTTGTGCACAAAATGTCCTTCTCGTGGTTTACATGGTACGCACGATTCTCCCCTGGTATCAGGAGACACTTTTTTTTTGCCAGGTGCCCCCATTGATTTGCAAGGTCTCTCTGCCCATCTTTACAGAGCTGCGCATTTACTAAGACAAATGACAGCAGCACGACAATAAGCTAACGGCAATGTCATTTGAGGTGGGGCGGGGGCAGAGGAGGAGGAGTCCACAATTTCTGTGTATTAGGGGAGTTGTTTGTGAATATCCCCTGGGTTTTTTCATTGAATGACATCCAAAAGGTGTTTATAATAAGAACCAGAAATGTACAAGCGGACGCATTTGGTTGTCAATAGTTAAAATAAATGTATAATGTTAATACATACATGCGGTTTGATGAAACAAAGTAGTTGTACTTGTATGCCCGTGCTTAAATTGCGTTTCGATTATTTACGTAAGAAAAAATCTGGCCATGTCTCGCACCGCAGAAAGGACAGCTCGCACCCCCTGGGGGTGCGTGCACCCCAGGTTAAGAAGCACTGCTCTAGACGGGCTATAAAGAGCTCTCTCTCTATTGGAGGCCTGTGTGCTGGCAAGGGCGTGAGAACTTGCGGGGTTGCACTTTTGCCTTGTGTGACGAAAGCTCACTGATGAACACTGGTGTTTGAAGGCCGTTGGTCAAGCTTTAGTTTGCATTAACTCAAGAGGGGGTTTTAAAGTCAAGGATCCAATACAGATCATTATATTTAAGATTGCTCCCATGCGTTGCATGTGGTAAGGGGAAACTCGCTTCCTGTGCCCATTAATTTGCGCGAGGAGCAATCATCTCCCACTGGGTATGGCTGAAACTTCACATCGCACGTTCAACAGCCATTTCCTTTTTAATTTAGTTTTCATTAATCGGCAGCGTTTATGAAACTGCATCTCACAACGCTTCGCAAAGCCGCACCTCCGATTAGCGTGGTTGGCTTCGTACGGTGCGAAATTTCAACGAATGTACGTACATACATACGTACATACACCACGGAGACGCGTAGATTGAGACATTTTTAGACAATCAATGAGTGTTTGTACGTGTGCAAGGAGCACCCAGAGAAAACCTCACACTTGCGATGAGGCAACACTCTATACCAGGCAGATGGTGCCTGGTGAAAACGAGTCCACACTTGCTGTACCACCTTCCTTCCCCTGGCGAGCCAGGGTATGGCTTCTGTACGCCCACTGGAAGGGAGTTTCACAACATGAACGCATCACCGTCACCCAACCACGTACAGTCATGTGAATGTCTATCCTTGAGATGCATCTACATTTAGGTGGTACATACCTTGACATTTTTGTCGTTTGCTCAAAGGGATAGTATACACGTTAGTCACCTTATCTGGAGTTACATCTAATAATTTTGTTTTACAGCCATTGATCAATCAACAGCCGGGATTAAACTTTAAATCTTGACTTAAAGCTTTCGTGACTGAAGGAATACATATTCTTTGGGTCTTTCGGTAAAGCCACGTAGATAGAAAAATAATTTTAAAAAAATATCACGACATTTCGATCGCAACACAAGCAATCGTCATGAGGTGAAAAAATATAGTGGGAGAGCTGCTGAGGCAGGATGTTATAAAGGTTTGAGATGGGTTAGCTTATGACCCTTGGGCTACACCCATCTCAAACCTTTATAACATCCTGCCTCAGCAGCTCTCTCGCTATATTCTTTCACCTGATGACGATTGCTTGTGTTGCGATCGAAATGTCGTGATATTTTTTTATGATTATTTTTCTATCTAGGTTGCTTTACCGAAAGACCCAAAGAATATGGATTAAACCTTCCCACACGGTGTCGGTCATAGGGTTTGCTTGACCAGACTCCTCCACCCTGGTCATTGCATGCTGATGAAAGAGGATCCAGTTCAGACTCCACTCATTGGTCAGTGTCGGTTGGTGATGGGTAACCAATACAAAATATGTTATTTTAGATAGAGTTGTTTTGCTATGTACACAATCACCAACCCAAATGCACCAAAATTATGTAGCATATCCACCGGTAATTAGCTGATTAAGCTTTTGCACGTGCACTCCGAAAAACAAGGACAGCTATATTTGTATAACAAATGTCACTGTGGTTGTTCCCTTTATTATTGTCTTTCTGTTGGTAACAATAATTATTTTAATGCTGGCATAACACAAAAATACTAAAAGCCAATAATATGAGCAGAATTATATATTACATGTAGTAGAGTTAAGCTATAAGTGTGCACACAAGTCCTTGCCATTATTATATATATATTTTTCTGGCTGCATTGCAGACAATTTTTCAGTATTATTATCACTACGCTGGCAAGCTAAAGCTCCGCTGAAAGGATGCATTTCAGGATGGAGAAATATATGTTGCATACAATCTCCGTATTTCGCGACACGTCATTTGTAACAATTTCATGAGGAGAAAATTAAATCGCTTAAGGGAGATTTGTAAAGTGAGCCAACGCCGTTATAATTCCGAGCAAAATATTTTAATGAAATTGGCTTTTTTTTTGCCTTTCTTTTAAAATTACACCTTCACCACATTTACACTGTACAAGCCACAAAATGGAAGTTCCGTGATTATCAGCCACGCCAAGTCGGTTATCTGTCCGCGGGTTTTTAGCGCCGCGCACGAGGTCACGGTGCCGAGTGGGTGGCCAGCCACCGGGGGCATTATTTATAGGCTGCAGTCTGGCGCATACATCACATGCACAATGCGACCCTTAAGCGTGCCAAGGTGTGTTAATCCATTGCCACGGTGCATTTATACATTCCATTACGTTTCTGTGCTTGCGATTCTTGTAGCCACCAGGCTGTACAAACCGAGCTGAGAGAAAAAATATGGCACAAGCAGGACAGGGCCCAGGATATCATAAATTTGAAGAGACGTGGAGGCAAAAACACCTTTCCAGGAAGAGCAGCCCTATGAAACAAACAGTTAATGCCCAACACATTTCTTAAACAAATGGAGATATGTGTCAGTGACACAACTGTAAAACATAGCAGAATATGTATTAATTATGTTTTACTTTGCTTGTTTACCCGGGAAAGCCTCGCTGAGCCTCAAGAATATATTACAGGAAGATCCGCACGTACATTTTCAGCATTGGGTTGTTTGGCGGATACCACGTTCTGTACATCGCATGTGGTGTTTAAGTCATGGGAAAAATTTGGAGACAAACATACAAACTCCATACACGCAAGGAGCCCACGTTGGGAATCGAATCCAGGTGTTACTTTCTGTGAGGCATAAGTGTTACCCCTGCCCAAGCCTGCCAGCCATCAATTACACTTTATAGCCTGTTTTTCTTAATAAAATAAAGACTTGAGTAACTCACAACAGTGAACAAGCTGATGTTGGTAACATTTATGAATAAGCGAGTTAAAGGTTAAAGTGACTATTAGAGGCTCTGAATTAAAACCACTGCTGGCCACTGAAGCAGCATCTAGACTTTACCATCACAATTTTCGAACATTAACCCACCACCAATTCACAGCATTCAGATAATAATTTATCCCCCTAGAGGCAAAAGGCTGCGAATTATTACTCTTAACAACATTTGAACCAGCATTTCGAGCTTTCAAGAGCTTGTAATTCTTTACTATAATTTTGTTAAATGTTGCCTAAAGCAGGAGAGGAAAATAGAGCAACGCCTCCTTCTGCACCGTGGTCCTCATACACACTGTGTTTATATTAAACACAATTCTCATATACAGTATATATTTCAATGCGACGCTGGAGTACATACACAGACAGTATGTTATATATATGTGTGTATATATCAGAATATTCATTCATACTGGAGAAATATGATGTCCTATAAAGCTCTTTTTCAAAGATGTCCAGTCGGGTCAGAACGTTACAACAACAATCAATACAAAAACACAATAGGAGTGCACATTATAGGAAAGGTAAGCAAATCATTAACAAAAAATATACAAATAAAACTAAACTATGTTATCTTACCAGGTAAAGCCCACTGAGCTGGTAGCTTCTTTTTTCAGATGTGACTTGGCCGCAAATGACAGCTCAACGGAGTGGCTCATCGTGTGTGTAACAGCTGAGAGGAGAGTTGGTGCACGGGTGATTGTGTAGTGGTCTGTGTTACCATTGACCAGAGTTAAATTCCCAGCAACAGAAAATATCGGTGGTGGACAATACTGTAACTATTAACCAGCCCCCCCCCCCCACCTTCACCAGCCCGTACTGACCAGGATAGTGAAGTATGGTCAAGATAATTTGAATGACTGATGGAGCATGGGGAGGCCTTCATCCAGCAGTGAATTACCACAGGGCTTTAAATTAGCATTACTATTTCACAGGATTCTTGGTTACAGAGCTGAGAGCTGAGGCAAAAAGAATCCTTGCCTGTATGATAAATAACTGTGGTACTGAAATAATTCTCTGTATGTACGTGTATGTATAGTGAACCTCCTTCGCACCGTATAATGCCAACCACACTAATTGGAGGTGCAAAGGAAGGACAAGAAACTAAATACAAAAAGCAGTTCTCAAGAAATTAGTTTTAAATCTAGATTTACAAGTGCATAGCTCCAGTGGCTTCCTAATGTCAGAAGGGAGAACGTTCCAGACAGCCACAGAAGCGCATCTGAAAACGCGCGACGCTGTGACCATTTGTGTCCGATGGTTAGCCTCAAGCCGCTGCCGCGAGGACGAGACAATAGCCGTGAAGAGAAGAGCCATGACAAGCAGACCGATACGATGGCTTTTTAACCCATGACTGCAGCTTGCATTCACGAGTGTGCGGTTGGTGCACGTGACACTGTGGTTCTTACCTGCGACACCAGCGGGCCAGCTCTCCAGAGTGATGCCGCAGCTCAAGGTCCTGAGCTCATCAGCGCTCAGCTTGGAGGACAGCTCAGGAATGGAGCGCCCGGGACACCGCCTGGCGGTCCGCCTCAATCCGTTCAAATGGGCTGCGTAACGAATGCACAGGTACAATAAGGGTTTCAAGAGCTCGAGAAACGAACACAGAGTCTCAATTGCATGGGTGACCTGGGTCACCGAAAAGGCAGACTAACATTCACAAAAGTGATCATTGATGCCCTTTGAGCATAGGTGATGCCGTTGTGGTGCTTGTGCCAGGCTCCGTTTATTCCGAAGCCACGCGTGGTGGCTTAGTCTCGCTGACTGAAGGCTGATGGGCAGAGAGAGATGTTGTGGGTTACGTGATTAATTTCCCATGTTTTTTCTTGCAATTACTTGCAGTATATGGTTATGCCATGACTTTGCATACTGACACACGCAATTAAATGCATATACACATACACATCAAAAACACTTTACTTTGGAATAGAGTAACGTCATCATCCAGAGGGTAAGAGAAAGTTGCTTGACGTTGAAAGCATTTACACACTCAACTGTAATTCATTCATTTGAATGATGTCTTTGAACTCACCAATGCAACTATTTGGGCACCAAATTAAATACAGGGCAGGCTTTTAATATTCCTTCATCGTGATTTGATGCGACATTAAGTGCGAGTTCGTCAAACGGCAGGTTTTGTGTATAGTGGGGTAAAGTGTGGGTACTTCCACCTCTTCCTAGAAGTCATCATGGAAATGTAGGTCAAATGCCCTTAAGTGGAAGCCCTTCCTCCACCAGTGGTCTAAGCGAGAATTTCCAGGTTGCACCTTTACCTTGTCAAGTTGGAACGCTCTTCCTTCCGATATTAGGAAGCCACTGGAGCTATGCACTTTTTAAATTTAGATTAAAAGCTAATTTCTTTAGAACTGACTTTTGTATTTAGTCCGTTGACCTTCCCCTCCGCACCTGTGATGAGCAACGGTTGGCCACGTATGGTGCGAAAGAAGTGCAACATGCACACACAGACACACATACCTTGTGCTGGCTCCAGAATTGTGTGTGCTGTTTCATGACCAAGTTAGATTTTCCCATTACCCAGACGGTTTATATATTTATATGTTTTATTTTTTTTTAAGGGCAGCACAATTGACGTACGTTCGCGCCTTGCCGTGTGGTTGGGTGTTATGACGCCACATCGGAGCCTGAAAGCATGACCCGTAGCTCCCAGGGAGATTGAGATTTTATTTCACTCCACGAATGAAATGATACGCTCGAAATAGGACACCTCGCACAACCGCCATAAGAAACCGCAATAAGCTGCACGCAGACCCACGGTATTTAATGTTAAATACACTTAATGCTATTTTTTTTGGTAAGCATTGCACATTTGATCAGTTACCATAGCTGTAGTGCACTGTTTTTGCCAATAGCTCGGAAGAGGCCCATTTGGGGAATACAATGGAAGGGTATACAGTTCCCAACACCTGCAGTTTCAGCCAGTCCAGGAGACACGTAATAAATTAAGTTTCGTAGTCAAGGAATGGGATATTTTCTCAGCAGCCCCGTAGAGCTATAAGATTGCTCTACTTAGCCCTTTTTTAACATCATTACGTAATTGCACATTTGTCGTGCCAAATTTATGTTAAGAGTGCCAAATTACAATTGTGATATTCTCAAAAGACAGTTTGCAGTGGCAACAGTCATAATAAATGAAGCATGTTTCGTTTTATTTTTTACAATTTTCTTACTGTCATTCTTTCAATCAGAACATTGTGTTTTAGCATAACTCACTCAATAAAACGTTGTTAAAATATACACAAGTAGATATAATCTGAAAAAATTATGGCAACTCTGTTAACATTTATTTTGGATAAATGAAGGATTATTTTTTAAACAATAACAAAATCTCACTTTCATAGTGCTCTTGACAACTCATTATGCCAATGTACTTTACAATATAACAAAGTACAACAACTCTAAAAGTTACTTAAGTTAAAATAAATAAATGCATGCTTGATAGAGGAAATAAAATATCATCTGATGATGATTGCTTGTGTTGCAGTCGAAACATCGTGAGAATGTTATTGTTTTATATTTTTATTATTTTATTGCAATCATCATCTGATGACGATCATCTGATGATGATTGCTTGTGTTGCAGTCGAAACGTCGTGAGAATGTTATTATTTTATTGTTTCCCTTCTACGTGACTTTACCGGAAGAACCAAGAATACACAATAAATACAGTTGAGAAAATTGGCAGATTAAAAATAACCACGTGTTTACGCATGACGTTCATACCTCGATTGACTTACAGTCCCAGTTTGGCTTGGGTATTAAATCCCATAAATAATTGTATTCAAGACAACCGTTGCGTTATAAAAATATATATATACCTTTTAAAGAAAGTAAATACGTAATCGTGGTGGGTCCCTTCATGAACTAATTCCAATTTTGAGATAATTAAATATAATCATTTGTTTATCAGATCCGCTAACCTCAGCAGTGAAATACATTTTGATGAGGCAATCAGAATAAGATATTAAGTTCAAATTATGAAGTAATTAAATAAGTTAAATAGAATCTAAATGTGCCATAGTGACAAAACATAAATTCATTTGTGGATCAAATTATATCCCGGAATTGTGACAATTCATACATTTTGTAAAGGGATTAATCGTTTATGATACGCACCCACTTTGCCATTTGTAATTGTATTTATTGATAGTCGTGACAAAATTATTAAAAGTTAGCTGATCAGCTAATCGAAAAGTAACCTAATTTATATACAACTTGGTCCCATCATCCAATACAAATCCTATATTTTTGTAAATATCGTTAAATTCAAACTTGGATTAACAGTGCACTGCTGGTGTTAGGTTGCATTAAATGCACTTCCAAGAGTTTCATATTTTTTGGTTGATAAAGGTTTAAAAGTTCATAATCGTGCCCTGCTGGTAATGAAGAGCTGTTTCCACTTTTAATTATTATTATTTGCTAATTGAAATTACTTAAAATGTATGACGTTTAATGAGCGTATAGATGTTTAATTCGTTTTATATATTGTTCTGCTTCTCTGTAATGATACAGCATTTGTGTGTAATCATCAGCAGCAATTAAAAAACAATTTCAGAATATTCTGAATGTGTTAAGGCTGACAGAAGAGGATGTATATGCAACAGACATGAATTATTAATTGGTGTAAAATATTTTAATTTCCAGTCTTTTTAGGTAAAACCCACAATATTATTACATGAGAAAAGAAGAGCCTGAAGCACATTGTTGATTTAGGTTCATGGTAAATGAAGACTATGATTGTCTTTTGTTGATTCAACAAATATAGACACAAATTAAATTAAATGAAGAACAAAACACATCCTCTTTATACGTATTGGGTTCATCTTCTTTGGTTATTTCGGTAAAGTCACGTAGAATGAGAATAAAATAATAAATTGATAAAATAAAATAACACAATAATATTCTCACTGAGAATAATATTCTCAACCAAAGAAGATGAATCATTGCAGTCACGAAAGCTTTAAATCGAAACGTATTGGGTTGTTTATATGAATACCTAAGGCGATACTTCTTCTTCGTATGGCTGATGTTAATGTAAAACAACAACAATTATACATTTACATTGAGGTGTTTTACCCAAATTATTACTTCAGGAGTAGCGGAGCGCATCGCTGTGATGATGATGCCTTTGTCATATTTGTGAATCAGCCTTTGAGTGCCATGGTCTGTTCTGGGTGACACCACATTTGTACATCAAGTATCCGCATCTGCCACACTTTGTGCGGATGCAGTTGAGGTGAAACGCTGAAGGATCGGCCCACGCTAGCAGCTAGTCCAGGGCCACCTTCTTCCCCATGCGTCTTCGGCGAGTCTGTCTACCTGTCTGTCTGTTTCACTGTTAAGCTTCATCTTTGCATATGTCATCTCTGATTTTGTCTATCCACTTTCTCCTCAGCCATAGTTGTGGTCTTGTCCCATGTCCCATCATTGTTACCAGACGAGATAATCTTTGGGAACCTCTCCCTGCTCATCTGCACCACATTTTCATAGTCAAATTGATTTGTTGCTCAAATGAGCATTTAGGTTTACAGCTCTGAAGTCAGTGGTTCCATATTCCTCGGGCACCGCTGTGGCGGGATGTTAACTCCCTCGCCTGGTATACAGGACGTCGTGGGTTGGACAACAACCCTGACGCCTGCGTATTTGGAGTTTGCACGTCCGTCTCCCCGTGGTCGTATGGATTTTTCCCTTGGTCCCCTCCACATTTAGAAATATGCGTTTAGAGTGTTTGGCTTATATAAATGTCCACATAGTAAGCCACTTCGTTGAGCTATCATTTGTGGCCAAGTCGCTTCTGAAAAAGAGCTATATAGCTCAGTGGGCCTTAAATGGTAAAATAAAAAAAACAGTTTCTCGTTTAATTTATGTTCAGGGATTTGTCTACCCATAGGATAACCACAATTCACTTTGCCACAATGTACTGCTTTTATCGACCCCAGAGTGATAATGACTGAGTCAACCCCCAACCAGGATTTGAACTCGCAACCTTCTGATTGCGAGCCACTCGCTCTATCACTGCTCCACCTGGCCAGGTGGTATTGCAGACATTTCTGTTGTACATTTATAACTAGAGTACTTTAAAACTACATATTTTTTAGTCTGTTAAAAACATACACTGTAAACCGATTTGAAAATAGGTAAGTTGTCCTTTGCAAAATACACACTGACTGGCTATTGGAGCGGTATGTGTCCCTGGCTACTCGCTCTGTGTACAGAGAACATGCTACTTGTGAGTGTCGCAGACTGCATGAAGCTGACCTTAGACAAGGTCATCTCCTCCCACGACTACGAGAATTTTGATGACAAACAGAGGTCAATAGTCCATAATAGAGTCTTTTTTTGTGGTTAGATCACGTAAATATAAATGTGTTGTTAAACCCGCCACCACCCGACACAGCCAATTCGTAAGGTTTGTCATGTAAACGAAACATGCCAATTCGTTACTAGGTCAGCACATCAGTGTGTTGGAGAGCAACCCCCCCACAGTAGTGGAGAAATCCTCCTGTTTAGGTCTCAAATACAGGGATAAATGT